CGGCATCAATCGCGAGTCCCCCTTACTGCTGCTAGTGTAATCCTCTTTCCCAAGACCCATTTACGGAAAACATTAATCCATATACTTGTACCAATGACTAGGACACCGAATGTGGTTGGATTTCTATAGTTTTTTTTTTCTTTCGATTATTTGAATTAAATTAACGTTATACTTGTTTGACTTATCTTGTGTTCGTGTTCCTTCGTTCGCTGTTGTAATACAGACGTTTTCATTCCAAAGGTCAAACGGTTTGAATAGCGTATGAGCGTTACTTCTTTAACGGCGTTCCGTACTTGACTCTGTACTATACCAACAACAACGCGGCCGCGCGATGCTCCTTACGTCAGTGATATTCAAAACTAGATACAGAGTAAAACTAAATAAGCAATGACTTTTGTGAATATATAGCTCTGAAATATTAATTTTGGCCGCATCAAATCCATTGTTTAGTTTTGAAGTAAATTATGCACTATATTTAAAGAATCTCAAATATCTAATAATTAGCTAGATAGATTTTTTCAAAAATCCCCACAAATGGAGGCATCTAGTATATAATTATGTGGTACGAAGCATTTTAGTGTTGAACGCTCTGCAAGGCTAAAATTGTTCTCTAAACGAAAACAAATATTTCATCATAATCACGTGTTATAACGTCCGATCTCATTAAAAACTGCATCAAACATTACTTCGATCTTTATGTGGCTTATGTGCAAAAAAGATTTGCTATCGGATAAAACACGTTTACGCACCAGCGTTCCAAAAGTGGAAGGTAGCGGTCAATCGTGAGGGGGTCCAGCCACCTTAAAGTGAAAAATTATAATTTTGAATAACGCTCTTCACCCATTTGGCTTTACGATGTGCACAATCGTTTGGGCTTCCTGTTTGTCTCGACCAAAGTGCATTGTGGTATAGTCTGAATCCTGGAGGCACCACATATAAGATAAGATATCACGTAAGGGAAGGACCATTAGATTTTTGAGGAGGGGGGGGGGGGGGGTGGGCAATTTATTTTGTGCAGGAATCTAAAAAAAAATCTAATGGTCCGTCCATTAGACGTCGTTAGGAAAGATTCATTTTTCAACAAATTTTGTCGGGTCATAAGTCCTTTCCAGAAATCGCTTGAGAGATCACGAGACAATGTGTTTGAATGGCGCAACTCCAAGTGGAAATGATCAAACGCGTAAGTTATCAAGTTTGGCCTCGTCTTGGAGCCATTATTCGTCGTTGGCCACCCAAGCGATTTCGGGAAAGGTCTGTTCGTTAGTATCATTCAAATCTTTTGTAAAAATTTTAAGTGGATAAGATGCCAAAGCCTTAATAAATATCTCGTGAAAGACTCCTTCACCTTATGAATCTAGCCTTAAAAAATAAATATTGCTATATGAGTACAGAACAACATAGATTCTGTTTTCGCTCGTTTCTCTCATCATAATTGAGTTGCTTTAACAGGAGAATGCATGAACAGGATAGACGTCTTTACCTCGAGTTTACCTTGTTGGGTGTAATTTTTACCCATTTAAAACCACGTGAAATTTTCGAGAATAAGATTCTATTAATATGTCGTCGGCGCAGGTCATTTAATCTCAATCATGGTAGTATTATATATTGACTAGTTGCAAACTACTAATTAATTAAGGCAAAAATATTAAAACTTTTCTCAGAATTAAATTTACAGGTAACAGTCCACAATTTATTTCATGTCTCAAATTTAAGATTTCAGATCTCACCGATTTTTTTCTTATTGAAATAGTTGTATACTTCAAATTAATTTAGTTTGTTTCTGAATCTTACAATATGGATACAAAATAAATAAATAATAATAATAATGGCTTTATTGGCATTTAATAAAACTACTTTCGTTATTGTATATTTTCATGGCAAAATATCGAGACATTTGCTTCTACTTTTTGAAACTCTCTCACAGACCCCCACATTTTATTCCTAAATTGTAGCAAAATAATAGGCAAATTTTCGAGCGAAATTCAAATTTATATGTGGTAATGACTTATTTTCTCATAATGTACACTTGGATTTCAATCGATTGGTTATTGTGATATACAGAAATGTTAAATAGTTGTGAAATAAAAAAAAGAAGTTACGTCACTTTGATTTTGTTTATTCGCTTGTTTGTTTGTCGTGGTTCTGGTAAATACAGTCAATAAGACAACCGGCCCTGCTGGTCCAGGAATTACAAGCACATAGGTACGATTCTTTTAGGTTAACTTGAAGGTTTCTGTAAAGTTTTTCTTCTAGATCCTAACTAATGTTAAATGTAAGCCACCGCTCGAAAATATTTAATGAAATTGATGAAAGTGGCTTTTAAAATACCACGAGACTAGACGCCCTTTCCATCAATTGCAAGCGTTGTTGTTCATTCATACTACTTTTTTTAGTACGGAGGGTTGGCCGTACTTTGAACTTTGAACTTTTTAACTTTTGTTTATTGACACACATATAAATGTATTCAAGTATGTATATATATAAAATACATTTTGAAATAAAATAAGAGATTTTTTGAGGAAAAGAATTGTTAGTGTTGTTCATGGTACAGTGTGTGTGGTTGTCGAAATAGTGTAAACTTTCAAGTCGACAGTCACTTTAATTAATAGTAAAATGATGTGGGTGAAATAGGATCAAGATGGGGGAGTACATTATACCAATTACAGTTTAAATTAATGATAGCTATTCCATACAAGAAGAATTGGAAACAATGGATTTACATTAACATATACAACATAAGAAATCCCCTAAACGGCCTCAAATCGTGCTGAAACCTCGCCAGAAGACTGAACAGAGTAAAAGCAACAACTGCAGCAAGTTTTGAGGCAAATTGTTGAGTAAAACATTTTATTGTCACGATTTTATCATAACTCCCATACATCCCCTTATAAACCATACACAGGAACCTTGTTTGGGCTGCCTGTGCTCGTCTGAGAGGCACATGAGTGACGACTTGCCAAGTATAAAGTAGATAAAGTCGAACAAAAGCCTAGAACAATAGGTTTACAAACCGTTCCGCTCCATTAACTATATGACAAAACTAATATAGTTTTCAATTAAGTGGCGAGAAATGACTTGTGTTATATACTCTACTGGTTTTGCCAGGTATTACATCAGGTATATGGCATTTTTGCTTGTATTTGTCTTGGTGGAACTTAATTAAAATTACTAAGATATCAGTGGAACGTATTAAATATTAATCGATGCTTAATTAAAGAAATGATTTTGAGTGCATAAAAGTGAAGGTGATACTGGTTTCTTATACACACAAGTTTTGGTTCTCACGGGGAAAAGAACTGCTTCGTTTGTGGTGAGGTTTACTGGGATTTTTTCAAACATGCGAACTCTGTGTTTTCGAGCTGCACGCTGAAATTTGTTTTTTCGCTGGCGTCAATCAAACCTAATCAGTCGGTACCTTTTATATTTTTGACTGGCAGCAGTGAAAAACCAAATTTCAGCGTGTTTTTTTTTTTTTTTTTTTTTTCCTATTTCGTATTTTGTTTCGTTATTATGATATATATTATTCTATATCTGTAGTGAGGGGCAACCTTTACAGATTAAAGATTTAGTTTTAAAGATTTAGATTTACAAAAGAAAAAAAAGAAAAGAGAAAAAAGAAAAAGAAAAAATTTTTTTTCAACTCGTCGTGATCTAGAAAATTGATATCAAAACTTAATTGGGATTATTCGTTTGCACGTTACGTCATCGCGGCCATGTTGGTGCCATTTAACAAAAGATTTCTCATCAGCATCCATTGTTAACGACACCACAATGGCCGCCATGTTTTGTCTTCTGACTCTCTTGGGAACGTTTGCAAGCGATCAATACTTCAAGAAGCGCGCTGCCTTGTACTCTTTTAGTTTCGGCAAAAATCAGATTGTAGGAGCCTGAAATACAAATTTTATTCCTGCTTTAAACTTGATGTCAAACTTAAAGAATATTTAGCAAGGTCAAAGAGATCCCAGTCAAATAGTGTAGATTGAAAGTCGAAAGTCACAATATTTTAGCGAAACTTTAAAAAATGGAACGAGTTGACCAAGTCTTGATCAACATAGTCAACGAAATAACAAATTTATATGATTAACGATGTTACGAAAGGGACGGTTTCAACGCTTTTTTTTTTACGAGAATGTTTTTGTTTGTTTTTGTTTCTGTTTTTATTTCTGATTTTGTTGGGTTTTTAAGTCTTTTTTGGCTTTTTTTCCCTTCCCAACCTCTTTTAAGGCGCTCATGGTATTCATACCTCTACCGCCTTCACCCTTATCACCTCTTCAGGCTGCTCATCTTCATCTTTGAATTCAAATTCTTTGGGTTCTTAGGTTCTACGTGATAAGCATGGCAAGTATTTCGTCACGCTGGATTATTGTACTCTGCCTTTTTCTTCTTTCGCAACAATTTGCACCAGTCTACACGGCATATTTGTCGAAGAATGCCCTCGTGAGATCAAGACGATCAGAGGAGCAAGACGAACAAGACCAGGAAGAACAAGGAGAAAGCCAAGTACATCACGACGAACACAAACATGGTGAATGCATATAGTTTTTTAAAATTTATTATATATTTATAGTGTATGTGTGTGTGTGTGTGTGTATGTGTGTGTGTGTGTGTATGTGTGTGTTTGTGTGTGTGTGTGTGACTATTTGTGGGCGTTGTGTGTGTGTGTGTGTGTGTGTGTGTGTGTGTGCGT